AAATATTTGATCAAATCAATTTGAATCAATTTGAATTTGATTGAATCGAATCAAATTGAATCAAATATTTGTCAAATTAAATCAAATAAAATCAAATATTTGATCAAATCGAATATAAATATTTTTTTAATTTTTACAATGATATATTAAAATAAAGTTATTCTAAAAGTTTTTATTAAGAAATTATTAGTAATTGCACTAAAAAATTTCAAAGATAGCTTTTACAAAGTAAGTTTAATACAGGTGAATTTTTATTATTAAACTTAGTAAAATAACTCCGCAGTTTCAGTTTTACTAAGAAAACTTAGTAATAACCACTATCGCGGTTTCAGTTTTACTAAAAAAACTTAGTAATAATTGCTATTGTGGCTTCAGTTTTACTAAGAAAATTTAGTAATAACCGCCATTGCAGCTTCGGTTTTACTAAGAAAATTTAGTAATAAACGTCATTGCAGCTTCAGTTTTACTAAGAAAACTTAGTAATAACTGCCATCTCAGCTTCGTAATAATTTTATTAGTAAAAAAATATTTCCGAAGCTGCAGACGCATTTTACTAGGGTTTTCAGTAAAATAACGTTTCTGAAGTTGTGAATGCGTTTTTACTATATTATTCTTAGTAAAATAATGTCTTTGAATCTGCGATAATATTTTTTACTATGTTTTTATTAGTAAAAAGGCATTTCTGAAGCCACAGAGGTGCTTTTTGCTATAGTTTTCTTAGTAAAAAAAGCATTTTTAAGCTGCAGAGGCACTTTTTACTATGGTTTTCTTAGTAAGAGCTACTCCTGAAACTTTGGAGATGGCTTTATTATTGATTCAAATCAAATCAAATATTTGAATACTTGATTTGAATTTGATCGAATCAAATCAAACATTAATTTGGATTTGATCAAATAAATCATTCTTTGATTTGAATTTGATCGAATCAAATCAAATATAAATTTAAATTTGTATTTGATTTGATTTTCAGATCAAATATTCAAATATCAAATTGAATTGTGAAACCCTACTAATAAGTAAAGGCTAAGTTTCTGTTGATCCAAAGCTTTATTTACATCTACATGTTCTAGCATTATGTAGTATTTAGGTATGATTAACATTATACGCAAGTTAATACATATGCTTATCAATTCAACCATAATAAAAATTCTTATAAAAATCATTCAGTTTTATTTCTCAGCTAAGATTTAAACCAATGGCCTACTACTGTATAATAAAATTTTAGCATATATGAGATTTGCAGCTTAACCATTAAGCTAGGATTATCATATTCTAGCTATTAATTAATATTTAAAAATTAATTTAAAATTAACTTAAAATTGGCTTATAATTAGCTGAAAATCAACCTAAAAATTAGTTTTAAATTAATTAAGCAAAAATTTATAAAAGAATTAATAATATTAATTTTATATAAAGTTGTTTTTTTTAAAAAAAAAAAAAAAACTATTTTAAATTAATCTTTAAATATTTCTAAAAAATATAAAAAAAAAAAAATTAAAAATAATTTTATAAAAAAGCTTATTTTAATGTAAAAAAAAATATTTTTTAAAAACAAAAAAAAAAATTTTTTTTTATATTAATCTAAAAGTTTTTTGATTTTATCTAATAAATTAAATAAAAATTTCAGATTAATAAAAATTTTATTATTTATGAATAAGGTTACTTGAGTTTAGATAAACGTCCAAATAATAAAGGTAAAACTTAGTTAAATTAAATTAAAACCTTATTAAAAAATCAGCGAAATTAAAAAAATTTAAAACTATACAAAGCTTATAAAATAACAAAAATATATCAAACTTTTAGTAAAAATTTAGCAAAACTAAAGGTTTAAACATTTAGCTAAATTTAAAATAAGTTTAGATAAACAACCTTATTTATAAATAATTTACTAATTAAATAATTTAACTTTTAAAATAATAATTTTTATTATTTTAATAAAATAAATGCTATTTTTTAAAAATATTTTTTATTATTTTTAATAAATAGTTGATTATTTAAAGAATGTTTTCTTATTATTTTAAACAAATAATTTTTATATTATTCTAAATAAATAAATTGTATTATTATTTAGAATAATTTTTTTTTTAAGAATGATTTTATTGTTCTTTAAAATAGTTTGATCAAATAGGAGGTTTGCTAGAAAAATATAAATTTGAGCATTTTTTATTAATACTTTAATTTTTATTGCATTTTAATTATTGATTAAAATGCTTAGAATCCTATTTTTCTAGCAAACCTCCCAAATGATTTAATTGTTTTATTAGAATTATTATTATTTATTTATAATGATTTATATTATATGATTGTTAAATGATATTTGTATAATTTGATTGAAAAGATTAACAATTAGATAAAATAATAAGTCAAATTGATTTTTTGTTTTAAATTAAACATAAATAAGTTTAATTGATTTTTGGCTAATTTTGACTAATTGATGTTAAGGTTTAATTAATATTTAATTGATAGATTATTTATTAGAATTGTTTTGATTTGATAATTAATTTATAATAATCAAATAAATAAATATTTAATTACTTTATAATAATTTAATATTAATAATTTAATTATTAAATCTTGAATAGTAATTATAGTAATATGAAATTTATTTGTAAGATTATTAATTGAATTAAATATAAAATTAATATTAAAATTTTTTTTTTAATTTATTTTTATATAAAAAAATATTATTCTTAATTAAACAAAGTATATAATAATGAAATTGGTAATTTATTTTTAAATATATAAATTATAATAAATATAAAATTGTAATATTTAATTATTTTATCAATTATATAATAATTAATAATATTATTTTAGACTATTAAGATATTAAAAAATGATAAAAAGTGTATATTTTAGTAATTTTAACTTATTTATATATAATTTATTAAATAAATATTTTATTAAATGTATAAATAAGATACTCTTATAACCAAAGCTTTATAAATTAATATTATTAGCTTATATTAAAAATATATTATTCGAGTTGTATTAATGTTAAGTAATACAATAATTTATATTAAAATTAGCAAATCTAATAAAACCAATAAGTAGTTATTTTTTTTTTTTTATAAACCCCTAAAACTTTCTTTTTTTATTTTAAAAACACATTTTGACATTTATCTAAAAATAAATGTTATATACAAATTTAAAATAAATAATTTCTTTAATTACATCCTTTTTTAATTAGAATAAAAATAATTTTAGCAAAATTTAAATTAAATACCAACACCTATATAAAGTGTTCCAAATGGAAGCAATATAAATAAATATATATATATTTAATAAAATTAAAAAGCTACCATCTTTTTGAATTCTATTAATGTTTATAATTATAAATTGTTTTAAAATAATCTGAAAATTGATAAACATATTATATGTCTTGAAGTAATTTATCAACATCATCGTCTTCAAGTAAACTCGTATTATCTAAACAATGCAAGACATAGTTTAAATTAGATTTAGATGAAAATAGTATAATTTCATTGAAATATTATATAGATACCTTGCATATCAATTGACAAAGCACTGCTATTATCATGATCTATACAATAGAATTGATTGAGGAAAGTTACACCTTAAATAAAGTTTAGAATAAATAATAAATAAAATTTCCTTTTTTTACCAGCTTCATCAATGCTAAATTCACTTAATAATCTATCAACTTCTTGCATAAGTCCATCATCTTCTTCTTCGGAACAAAATGAAACAGGAGAGTCATTTCCTTGTACTTTTAATATAGATTTTTGTGATTCAACTGAAACAAAAGAATCTTGTGAATTACTTCTTGGTATTAATAATGATGAACTATTATTAAGATTAATGTTGTCATTAGCACTTTCTGTCGTATTATTTGAATTCATTATTGATGTAGTTGATTGAGCTGGTGAATTCATACTGTATTTTTTTGATGATGAATTTGAAGATTTTCGATCTGGTGAACTAAAAGATTTAGGTCTTGCATTATTAAGCCTTTTACCAAATTTCCCTGCTAATTTCATGCCATCTGTCATTAATGCATTAAATATTTCTCTTCCAAGTCCTTTTGATCTTTCTTCTGTCGGCTCAATAAATTGGAATGTTGTTGCAAATCCTGAATCAAAAAATTCTTCAAGATATCCATCTGCTAATATTATCATACGAAATGATGGTAATGACATTCTCGTATTATGTTCTTCATGTTCCGTCAATAAATTTCCTATTTCATTCGTTTTAGACAAATGTGGATCAGGAACACCATTAGTTTCACCCATAGATTCTGTATATTCAAAAGCATTTTTTATAAAATTTGAAACAGAACCTAAATGACCATCATCTTGACGATTTCTAAATATAAATAGGAAACTTTCCGACATTTGTAATATCTCTTCCTTAAATAGATATCCATCCTTGTCACTATCATGTAAATTAAAAAACAATTCCATTCGTGACAAGAGATCTCCAAAAACAATTTCTCCAAGCCCTAATACAACATCTTGAAGAGAGAGTCCGCCAGATGTACTTCGATCGAAATGAATAAATAACTTATTAATAAATTCATATCCTACTAATCTTCGTCCTTGATTATCTCTCGGTGATCCATTTTCCTTTGTAAGGTTATCATCGTCTAATTTTGCCCAACCAGCTATATTTCCTAAAAATCGATAAAATGTATTCAAATCCATTCGAGAGTCATTTCGCTCACTTTTTTGTTTACCATAGAATTGTGCATTATAATATTTGTCATAAATAATAGAAATATCATTTTTTGAAAATTTCGAAGTATCCTTCAAATTTCTAATTTGTCCTCGCTTTGTATAACTTTCGATATTATGAACGACTTTAAGCTGATGTGTTCTACGAAGTTCCGTTACACTCTCAGTTGTAATACTTGAAAATTCTTTAAAAGCTACCATCATCAACTCATTAAATTTTGTAGTTTCTCGAGTCTTTTCATTCTTATTTTTTGGATGAGCAGGCTGATCCAATGCTCCAAAGTATTGTTTTAATACATGTATGAATTGTCCATCATCGGTGATTGTCAAAAGTTCATCTCCATTTATTTTAAGAATAGCTTAAATAATCGAAGAGTTTCAAAAGATTAATATAGCTATGATGGATGATAATCATATTTAGAGATATTTTAAATCTTTCTTACCCAATCTAAGAATGAAATATAATATATATATGTATTAAATAATATGATTTATATTGTTTAAATATTTAGTAAAATTCAAAGTAAATATTTACTAACCCAATCTGGAATAATACTCGAGGGCCCTCCAAAAAGAAACAATCAAGCACTCGGAAAGCAAAAAGGAGAGGCATTGAATTGATATATAAGCTTAGGAACCAAGGAAGATAAGCGACAGACAGTTGGACATCAACGTTTTGGAAATGCTCATAAAGCACAGGCATTTTATTTTGAACATAATGTTCAAATATTAACTGATCCAGGATAGCACCATACATTGATGTGCTATAAATCAATAAATCAATAAAAAATTCGATGCATACAAATAGATTATTTATAAAAAGAAGCGGTTTAATACCTATAATATCCTGGTAACATTCTATCACATAATACACTTAATATCCAAAATGCTTGTTCTTCACTCATGTAACTAATAGATATTTTAGGTATTTAAATATTGAGTAAAAAATTATTAAATATAATTTATAAAACAACTTACATTAAAATAGCAGATGTAACAATATTCATGGCCTGACAATAACCTAATTCGGGATCTTTCCAGGAATAAGCTGTTAATACTCTTCTCAGAGTATTTATCCCTTCTTTTGTTTGATAAGCGGTATATTCAGGAAGAGATCTAATTTCTCAAATAGTTCAAAATTCAGTATATCAGCTTATACAGGAATACAAAACTTATTTGATAACAAACATCGCCTTGAATTACCTATTCAAGTCCTTTTCAATCTCTTCAGTTGAAAGCGAAACTTTGCCAGCGTAATCTTTCTGTAATTTCTCATACATCCCATCATTTACAAATCGTAAAAACATTGCTCCAGAACAAAGTTCCCAAATTTCTCCACGTAGTCTGTTCGGTAATCCAACACGAACAAGTTTATAAAAATATGGATTTTTTATCAGAGTCAAATTCCTGCCATGCGCTAATCAAGATAAATACAAATGAAAATATTTATTCCTCAAAACTCCAAAATTAATAAATTATAATTCAAATATATTTATTAAATCGCATACTCTGCAAATATTCAATCCAAAGCTTTGTCTTATACTTATCCCTTAATCTAGATAACGGAATATATGTATATATGTATATAAAATATATTGTTAATAATTATTTGCATATATAAAAAACATTTTTCAACTTACTTTTTAGCATCACCAGGAAATCCAAATATTAATCCTAACCCACCAACTGAAATATCTTTTTTCGGGTCCACAAGTAAAGCTTCCGAAAAACAAGTACTTAAAAATGACCTTAGGTGCTTCATGTGACGTACCTGTTGCTTAAGATTATCTCGAAGTGTATTACAAAATTTATCACAAAGTGCTTTGTTTCCATTTATTTGTAATGTTAATTTCATTTGATGCCAATTCGATATTGAAAGTGCAAAAATATTTGTTCTGCTATTAAGTCGTTCAACTCTTCTGACAGTATACAATGGCAGAATAAAGCTACAATTTTTTGCATTATCAGCTACAAAGGTGAGGTAACCTTCAGAAAGTTGAAGTTTTCCGTTTATGTATTCTTTCATCTCTAAAGTTGAAAATTCGCAAGAACACTCTTCCATAAGATGCTCAGTTGTGGGTAGATTAAAATACAATTGAAATTCTTTATCCCTTTTCTGATCTTCGAGCCCTTTCTTTAATGGTGGTACCATTGGGGAACAAGGCACAACTGAATTAAATTTTAACACTGATTTATCTTTATCAGAATTAGGCTCAAAACTGGAGTCAAACAAAAACTTTCCAGGTGCTGGCTCTATGGCTGCATTTTTAAGTAATCTCTGCATAGATTGACTTGTTAACTGCATTAAAGTATCATAAGTCTATATGAAAAAAACAAATTGAATTTAATATAATGATTTAATTATAAAATTATAGCAAATAAAATTTACATTACCTCGTCACGGTGAAAAAGGTTAGAAAAAAAATGCTAAAGTATAAAATATTAACTTCTTATTATAATATTTTTTAATTACAGGTACCATAATTTTAATTTGGATTACTAACCTCTTGGCTATCTTTTGTGATAACTTTGATGGAATCTGCAACCATTCCTCGTTTCGATCTTTCTTTTAATAAATCTTGGATATCTTTTAACTCTATAAATATTTTTGTTTCGTGACCTAACCAAAAAGCATAGAAACACAAATAATTTTCGCTGATGTACATCCAACCTTGAATTATACTACGATATGCACAGGAATAAACTATGATAAGAATAGTTGGGAATCAAATATTTAATTGGGAATAAAAAAGACTTCGTAAAAAAAAAAAAAAAAAAATTCTTACAATTGACCAGCCTTTCTGTAGGAGCAATATCGAAAGTCTGTCGAAAAGCTCTGGATGCGGCACGAACACTTTCATCCTCGGAAACTTCATCAGTTCCTTTATCTAAAATTCGGATTTTTTAAATAAATAAATATATATATCTAATATACACAACTAACAAAAATGAATGGTACCTTGACGAGTAACCAATGAATTTATTTTTGTTACTACATAATTTTCTTTTTCACCAGGATCATCAAGTTTAGTTAATCCCAAAAATAAACTATCTAAAAATAATTAGCCGTTGATTCTAGTTATCTATAAAGTTAATAATAAATGATCAGAATTGATCAATAAGCATACCTTCAATCCATTTCCAAGCTTCGTTAATCCCTTTTTCAGTTTGGGAGACAGCAATTTGTAAAGAAGTACTAGTTGGTTCAGCTCTAAAAACGATTCGAAAAGGTGGTTGCTTTGTATCAAATCTTAATATTATTTTTTTTTTAAAAAAAACTGAGTTAGTAAACGAATGATAAATTAATAAAAGTATTGGTGCAAAAAAATAAGAGTACATTACACGTTTTGAATGGTACCAATAACTCCTCTATAAAAAGAGTTTATGTTTGAAGCTTTGGTTCTTTGTAAATTAAAATGTTCAGAAGTTTTTATAACATCCCAGAATGGGTTAGTCAATTCACAAGGCGTAGGTAAAGTGAATACCCCGCGAGGAGGATCAAAATGAGAGGAATGACTCATTAAATATATAAATGCTTATGAAGCTTTTTTTGATGAAGAGAAAATGTAGGATTTTCGAGTTTTTTTCATACAGGTAAAATAGTATTGTAAAGTTTTTATTTTGAATCAAAAACTGATGTTTCACTGCATACTTTTGATTGGGAGTACAGTAAACTTTATTTTATTTGCAATCAATCGTTCATACGACACAGAGAAGCGACGAAAGATTTTTCGAGAAGCTATTAACAGGAAAAAAAAAGAATGTTGAATGATTTACTTTATTTAGGTCAAATTAACTTTTTTTATAGAAATTTCTAAACGTAATTTGGTAATTTACCAATTGAACTAAAATCTGTTGATAATTTACAAATTCCACATGGGCCAGCTACATAAAACGTTAGTTGAATTGTAATGAAATTCAAGATAAAGATCTTCTATTAAAATTGCAGTTCCTCATTCATATTTTTTATAGAAAAACCAAGTGACGCGTGAATTTATTTTTTGAGTTGATTTTACATGTCATTTGAATCATTTGAATCATTTGAATGAAGATAGATTGTCTCGCAATAAGTCCGATCGTCCATAAATGACGAAATATCGCACGGTACACGCGTACAAGATAAAAACAAATCATCCAAAATGCCAAAAAAGACCCTATTTTACAGGTTGATCAATTTGTCATCAATAATTTATATAAATACATACATATGATATACTTTTGTGTAAATCCTTTGTCCTTTTTACAAAAGATAAAAATTTCTTTTCTTTCCAAGGTTAAGAAGTTTTCTTCAAAATAAATGAGTGATAATTCGAATAACGTATCGTCTATAATAAATGTTCTATCAAATTTATCATCATCTCCTACACAATCCTTAAAATCAATAGTTCCACTATTAACGCCTCCTATAACACCTCCAATCTTAATTAAAAGACCAAATCCTGAAAATACATTATCATCACTTCCACCGGAAATATTATTAAAAATATTTGGATATCTTCGTATCCATTTGGCTGAAGAATCATATGAAGACATATTAAATGCATCATTGGTATGTCGAAGATGGCATAATTGTTCTGTAACAATATTGTGGAATAAAGTTGATATTAGAAGGAAAAGCAAATGGTTTTTGATTCGTAACTATATACCAAAGTACGGCCATTTAATTAATTCAATATCATTATTTTGGGTAGGATTAGATAATAAAGATAAACAGACGTTATTAAAATATTGTAGATATATTAAAATACTATCATTGGTTAAATGTAGAAATTTAGATAAAGATTTTTTATGCGGATTAGTTAAATTAAATCAAGAAACATTGAGATCATTTACAATTTGGGGACCTGGTGTTTATGAATCTTTGGCTACGGAGATAACGGATGACTTGTTATTACCGATGTTAAATTATTGTAAAAAATTAAAAGAATTAAAAATTCAAGCAGCCGCGATTACTGATAAATTACTTATTAATATAGCAAATTCAACAAGCAATCATAATAATATTTGGTCAGAATTAAATTTGATTGATTTATCTGAATGTGGTAAGATAACTGCTGGTGGCATAGCTGAATTATTTAATCCAAATATTTTTCCTAAATTATTTAATTTACGTTTACAGTATCATGAAGAAAATGATTTAGATGTAGATTTTTTTGATTTTTTGGCGAAAAGCTTTCCTAAACTTAAATTTTATTTGGTGATAATTGATTGGTATTTAGAGACAAATCCTTTTAATGGTACGAGATATGTGAAAGTAAGTGATGATTTACAAGCATTAAGTAAACGTAGACATAATATTATTTTGGAAACTTTAATATCTGGTAGGCAATGGTGATTATTATTTTTTTTTTTTAATAATAAAAATTGAGATGTGATTATCTACAGTATAAATCACGTGAAATTATTTTTATCAAACTTTTTTTTTTCCTTTTTTTTTTCTACTCTTTATTCCTATTCCTATAACGATTCGAGTTTTAGAGAAGTGTGTATTTGATAATTTTTTTTTTCTTTGATCATTTCGATTTTGATCCAAATCGATCTTGTATCAAGTGTTATTTATTTATTTTATCTTACCAACTAATTGTAAAATTTTTAATTGCTCCTTTGAAACTTGGTATTTTAACAATTTGCCAAGATTAATTAATAAATAATTATAATAAAAATACTTGATAAGAAAAAATTAATTTAAAGAAATAGATATTACTACCTCTCATAAGTAAACTCTCATATCATCTTTGGATTTATTCTATCACGTTCCTTTTCGTAGAAATTATATATAAAAACCTTGGTGCCCGAAATTTTGCATAAAAATTTTGCTCCGAAAATCATTAATATAAATATAACTTTTATTCACCATGAAAAACGTGGAAAATGTAATTTCCATGTCAACTGCGACCCCTTTACAAGTAACGGAAGTGGTGGATAACAGTCGCAGCGGTGGTGAGATAATCGATGGAATAGCCCCACGAATATTTTCCAACTCTCTTATTGAAAATTATCTCAATAATAATTTATCATCACCAAGATCACCAACTCCTCCAGTAACTGCTCCAACTTATAAAGGTGACACAATAGCAACTTTAGTACTTAAAGATGGTAGCTGTTTTCAAGGATTTTCATTTGGAGCAGAAATAGAGAGCGTCTCGGGAGAATGTGTATTTCAAACTGGAATGGTAGGATATCCGGAATCCTTAACAGATCCGTCATATAGAGGACAAATATTGGTTTTAACGTTTCCGTTAATTGGAAATTATGGTGTACCATCTCGCGATGTTGTAGATGAATTTTCTCTTAAAAAATATTTTGAATCAGATGAAATTCATGTAATAGGTTTAATTATTGGACAATATTCTCAAGAATTTTCTCATTATTTGGCTAAATCTTCTTTATCTAATTGGCTTAAAGAAAATAACATTCCTGCTTTATATGGAATCGATACTCGTGCTCTTACCAAAAAAATTCGTACTAAGGGTGTTTTGTTGGGTAAAATTCTCTTTCTAAAAAATGTGGTGGGTGATGTCAAAATTTCGTCTCCTTTGAGTGAAGTTGATAAACAACCTTGGATGATCGATTATCAAGATGTTCCTTGGGTAGATCCAAATGACAGAAATCTCGTTGCCGAAGGTATGTATTCTAAACTTCATAATATGATCGTTTCGGTGTATAGATTTAAACGTGGAATATCATTAATAATTTTTTCTTTTATAAATAGTTTCAATTAAAAAACCAAAATTATACACACCAGATTCGGCGAGAGCTCTTAAAGGAATCAACGGAAAAACTCTGCGTATTTTAGTTGTTGATGTTGGTATGGTTAGTATATGGAAATTTACTTACTTTTATCTACAACAAAAATCTATTGATCTTATACTCTTATCTTTCTATCTGTTTATTCTTTAGAAATTTAATCAAATTCGATGTTTGTCAAATCGTGGTGTAGAAATAAAGGTTGTTCCCTGGGATTATGATTTCAATAAAGACAATGATTATGATGGGTTGTTCATCAGGTATATATCAGTCAAATATTGTACGATTAATTAAATATTTAAAAGATTAATGATTATTTTTCCTGTTTAGTAATGGTCCCGGCGATCCAACTATAGTCACTGCAACTATTGAATATCTTAAAATAGCATTGCAAGAAGTTAAAACTCCAATTTTCGGGTAAATCTAACTTTATTATATTCATTTATATGTACACTATAATTAACCTTTCTCTCTCCATATATGTATAATAGAATCTGTATGGGACATCAGTTGTTAAGTTTAGCATCCGGCGCTCAAACGATAAAGATGAAATATGGGAATCGTGGTCACAATATTCCATGTACAAATATGATTTCAGGTCGTTGTTATATAACCTCACAAAATCATGGATACGCAGTTGATGCAACAACACTTTCAAAAGATTATATGGAACTATTCGTTAATGCAAATGATGGATCTAATGAAGGAATCATGCATAAAACGCTCCCAATCTTTTCTGTCCAATTTCATCCTGAATCAACTCCAGGACCAAGAGATACAGAATATTTATTTGATGTTTTTATTGAGAGTGTTAGAGAATCTAACTTAGCTGGAAAATTAGTACCCATTAAAATGCCGGGTGGTATTAAAGATGAAAATTCAATGAAACATCCTCGCGTTAATGTTAGAAAAGCTTTGGTTTTGGGTAGTGGTGGATTAAGTATTGGTCAAGCTGGTGAATTCGACTATTCTGGAAGTCAGGTAAGGATATTAGTTTGTTATAGAAAAATGCGTAAAAAATTGTGTATATTAATACTTTATTTCTTTCGTTAGGCTATTAAAGCTTTGAAAGAAGAGGGTATATACACAATATTAATTAATCCAAATATTGCTACCATACAAACATCACGTTCGCTTGCCGACAAGGTCTATTTCTTGCCAGTTAACCCAGATTTTGTTCGTAAAGTTATAAAACACGAAAAACCCGATGGAATTTACGTGACATTTGGAGGACAAACAGCATTAAGCGTTGGAATAAAACTTAAAGATGAATTTGATGGATTAGGTGTAAAAGTATTGGGTACGCCAATAGAAACTATTATAATGACAGAAGATAGAGAATTATTTGCGCAAAAAATGCTACAAATACAAGAAAAGTGTGCAAAATCTGCATCAGCAGCAAATATACAAGAATCATTAGAAGCAGCAAAAGAAATTGGTTATCCAGTAATTTGTAGGGCTGCTTATGCACTTGGAGGTTTAGGTAGTGGATTTGCTGAAAATGAAGCACAATTACATGAAATTTGCTCAAAAGCTTTTGCTATAAGTTCTCAAGTTTTAATTGAAAGAAGTATGAAAGGATGGAAAGAAATTGAATACGAGGTTGTAAGAGATTGTCGGGATAATTGTATCACTGTTTGTAATATGGAGAACTTCGATCCTCTTGGAATTCATACTGGCGATTCTATCGTGGTGGCTCCTTCTCAAACTCTCTCGGACGAAGATTACAATATGCTTCGTTCAACAGCCGTAAACGTGATAAGACATCTTGGTGTAATAGGAGAATGTAATATTCAATATGCATTAAATCCCTTCTCAAAGGAATATTGTATTATTGAGGTAAATGCCCGATTGTCAAGATCTTCTGCACTAGCATCTAAGGCTACAGGATATCCATTAGCTTTTGTAGCAGCAAAATTAGGATTGGGTATTCCATTAAATGAAATTAGTAATTCTGTAACAAAAGTTACTTGTGCTTGCTTTGAACCGAGTTTAGATTATGTTGTAGTTAAAATTCCAAGATGGGATTTAAAGAAATTTTCTCGTGTTAACAAAGCTTTAAGTTCTTCAATGAAATCTGTTGGTGAGGTTATGAGTATTGGGAGGACTTTTGAAGAAACTATACAAAAAGCTATTAGGGCTATTGATTTTGGTTTCATGGGATTTGATCAAGTATGTTTTTGTTCTCATTTATCAACTTAATTAACTTAAAAAAAAAAAAAATGTTCACACAAGAGTTAAAATATTTATTTTTAGAATGATTTAGTAGATTCAATTGATGAAGAACTTGTAAATCCTTCAGACTTAAGATTATTTGCAATTGCTAATGCTTTACATCAGGGATATACCGTTGATCAAATTTGGGAATGTACAAATATTGACAAATGGTTTCTGCATAAATTAAAAAATATTGTAGAATTAGACATAAAATTAAAAAAATTTCATCCCAATAATATTACAAAAGATATTATTCTTAATGCTAAACAATTAGGGTTTTCTGATCGTCAAATTGCAAAAGCAATTGGTAGCAATGAATTGGCTATTAGAAGAATTAGAAAAGAATCTGGAATTGTTCCTTTTGTTAAGCAAATTGATACAGGTGATTTAAAAAAGTGATCTTTTATATATATTTGCATATTTTATAATTGTAAAAAAAATTGTCACTAATTAAAAGTCCTATTTTATTTTATTTTTTAGTTGCTGCTGAATTTCCTGCTCATACTAATTATCTTTATGTAACTTATAATGCCGTAGAGCATGATATCAATTTTGAAGAGAAAGGTGTGATGGTACTTGGTTCTGGAGTATATAGAATTGGAAGTTCGGTGGAATTTGATTGGTGCGCAGTTCGAGCAATTCGTACATTGCGTGAACACAACATAAAAACGATTATGGTCAACTATAATCCGGAAACTGTCAGTACAGACTACGATGAAGCCGATAGACTTTATTTTGAAAATATCACATTAGAACGTGTTTTAGATATTTATGAAACAGAAAGTTCTTGTGGTGTAATTATTTCTATGGGAGGACAAATTCCAAATAATATTGCCTTACCTCTTCATAGACAACTTGTAAAGATCTTAGGTACTTCACCCGAAATGATTGACATTGCAGAGAATAGATATAAATTCTCGCGTATGTTGGATCAAATTGGAGTTGATCAACCGGAATGGAAAGAATTGACAAGTCTTGAAGAGGCTCAAGAGTTCTGTAAGAAGGCGCAGTTTCCCGTACTTGTACGACCTTCTTATGTTTTATCCGGAGCTGCCATGAACGTAGTTTATTCCTTAGATGATCTTTCAAATTATCTAAGTCAAGCAGTAGCAGTTTCACGTGATCATCCGGTTGTCATTTCGAAATATATTGAGGAAGCAAAAGAGATTGAAATGGATGCAGTGGCACTTGACGGTAAGGTGGTGATGCATGTTATATCGGAACATGTTGAAAATGCCGGTGTACATTCAGGTGATGCAACACTTGTTTTACCACCACAAGATCTTGATCCTGAAACAGTACGTAAAATTGAAAAAGCAACACAACAAATTGGAGATGCTCTAAATGTTACAGGACCTTTTAATATACAAT